GAGCATGACACTTATCCAAGCCCGATACTGTCGTCGGCCGCTGCTAACGTGCTCTCCCGTCAAGGTCAGGCGGCGGTCATGCAGCATCAAGCAAGACATGCTGTAAGCAAACACCATTGACTATTTGCGTCAGCAGTTGAATGCTGCTGAATGCCTAATCGAGTGGCATGTATATAAAGTGGTCATCAGTTCCGGCTGGTCTCTCCCAGTCTGCGGTCACAACGCAGGCCTTGGAGGTCAGCGGAACGAGCGAGGAAAGCGCTGGACCGCGAAACAAACGCTCTGTTGCGTCATGGTTCGGCTGTGCTGTCCTGTTATGGATAAATAGCACGCCTCCGGGCCTCGTGCCGCTGCGCAGGTAAGTCTTTTCTAAGCCGCACTCACACGCCACCCCAAACAGCCGTTATTAATGTAAGTACAGACTTGTGTCGCTCGTGCGCTCGTGGGTTGGCTGCTGATATCCTTCCCTCTTTGAACTGTTAAACTTCTGTCACTGTTTTAATGGAACACGTTCCTGGAAACCCGTAGAAGATATCGACCCTCTGACTGCCAGGCGGCCTTAAATTCACGAAAATCCGTCTGCAGCCCGTGGCTTACAAAACCGACTGAACAGAGCTGAAATGCCAAAATGATGCTGAGTGAAAGGGCACAAGTCCAACGGCCCTTTGCAAAACGCGGCTCATGAGGTCCCTCACCCATCTAGAGCTATCATCCGACGTACAGATGCATTATGCAGGACGCTGTACATTGCACGAAGCCCTCCGCCCTTGCACGACTCCCTCGACAGGTGACCAGTGCATACCGCTCTGCGACGGTCCCGGCGCAGCCCGCGAGCGAGAGAGCCGCAGGCTCATCGCCGCGTTACCAGCGGCGGCGAGCGAGGCCCGACGCCGCTGACGGCCAACCGGGGCCAATCAGAGGCCGCTGGCGGCCAACCGGGGCCAATCAGAGGCCGCAACTCATGACGTCACGACTCAAGGGCCCTGCGAGCCTGCCGCACGGCGGCCTTTGTCAGCTCCGGCAGTGCAGCGCGTTGTTTTACGGCCCGGGCCGGAGCCAGGCATTGGTCTGCTCATGGATGCCGAGAATTCGTGGGAGGAGTGAGTGCCAGTTTGGAAATGCGTTGTCATGACGCTCCAGCTGTTAAAGAGAGCGGAAGTGAGTGCTTAAGCGCTGGCGCTCCGAAGGAATTGGGTGATTCGGGTGTTCCGAAATCTTCCCAGTTTGTTTCCACCAGAGGCGGTCGTAAACAATGATCGGTCAAAACAACTTTTCAGCCTTAGCGATCTTGACCAACTAAAACACTGTCGCTAAGCACCTTGTCGGCCCGTAGCACTGGACTAAAACACCACCATTATTGGGAAGCACCAACAAGGCGTATTCGCCTCTCATATGACCCATTATGGGATCATAATTTCATATGATTCTCAAGTCGCAAGAAGACAAAATCTTAGTGACAAAATCCGGATAGTACCCACATCCTTCCACGCCTTAACACGAATGCGATTCTTCGGCATACCTAAAGGCTTTAATGGGCGTGCAATAACGAAGTTGGCACGCACACGACGACCTCTTTTCCGTTATGTAATAAATGCTGCCTACAGCGACAAGTAACGCAATAAAAACAGTGCTCACAATAAGTTCACAGAATGCGGGGGTTATCGGAATGCAAAGCTTAATCTTCGTAGCCACAAACTGCACCGTTATCTATTTTAGCTGACGACGCGCCGGCTGCGACCACCGCTTTCGGTCTCTAGCGGAGCACATCTACGCACTTCTGGGTCTTTGATTGTATCCCACCAAAAGCAGCGGTCCGGTTTATACCTTTGTTTAGATGTTTGTAATTGAATGTCTACCGGTGCGAATAAATGTGTGCATGGGTGAATGATTGCTCATATGTTTGCACATCGCGGAATAGATGTCTAATCATCACAGGATCGGACTACTAACTGGCTCGGCATTTTTGCTACAACTTTGCATATCGAGCGTCCCTCATCGTATTATAAACCTATTCCCACTTCCCATTTATGCCAAACTGATTAACGAACAAATCCTGAAGGTTTTTGCAACACCAGTGCCTTCGTTGCATGCCTTTCTGTTGCTGTCTTTCTGTTGAACAGCAAGCGCCGCACGCAATGCTCCGCTCGCGTGCTGCGCTGCAGCCCCACCGCAGGGGTACCGTAATAGCGTGCATGCTTATAACCGTTCTCACACACGGGCGCGCCCAGCGGAGAAGTATGCTTGATCGTTGTTGTCATCGATCTTTGATTCAGTAAAGCGCTCCCACCTGCTGTGAACTACAGAGGGTCCCCAGATCATAGACACCTAATCAAAATGTCGTGTTGGTTGGCGCACGACATTCGCCAGATCTTTGGCACGCAAATCCAAACAAATACGTAACTTCCTCGGGACACCCCAGAACAAAGACCAGCTACGCACATACATTTTATGGATGAATCCCAGATCCATTAAACCTGTTGATTAAATGGTCCGATTTATGAATGCTGTGCTCTGTTTTCTCTTCCGCCATATTTTCCATGCTGGAATTGCAGCATAATTGTGCATTTCTGCGGGGCACAACTACAGTCGACTAGCAAATCGGAACGGAGGAAATCATTGTTGTCTGGAAACCTACAATCCGGCGGTTATGAATACAGATAGTATGAACATGACACAGGGTAGTGTGCAAAGCAATCGTGAAGTGCATGGTAGTCGCGAATGCAGAAACAGACGCGTGCAATGAGCACACCTTTTTCTTCTTCCGGCTGGCGCCTCCACTAATAGCGAGGGACTGGCGGCAATGTTCAGTCTGTCGCCTGCCTGAAAGCATTTTCTTAGAACAGCTTCCATCGAAAGTGTCACCATGCCCTGTCTATTCCGACACCAAAGTTGCAGACGAAACTCAAAGCGGCCAAGCGTAACGTAAAACGCGACGCCGCTGGCAGCGAAATGGGTTGCTTTGTTAAAGCTTTGCGAGATCCAAGGCTGCATGTCAGACAGTGCGGAAGGTAGCGCCAAGTCGTGCGTGGTTATCAGATAGCTAGAGACGTGCGCGTGTCGCGCCACATAATAGGCACGATCTCTCCAAATTTGATCAAGACACACGGCTTCCACGGGCTCACTCCTGCGCCACTCGATTCACGTGTACTCGGATCCATTCAGGCATTGTAGATAACGAATCAGCATCTTACGTATGACATATCATGCTTTTTAATGCTCCCAGAATAGCAGGGTGTTTGTCGCTCCTTTTAATAATTCAACCCAAATGCCGCAATATTAAGGCTGATGAGACCCAAGTTTGCATAAGTTTGACGGTGTAGAAGGCGGAAGGCTACAAGGCTATTTTAAATTGCTTAATGTAGCTGGCGCCAGATCAGCTGTTCCCGGTGCTTTGTAAGGTTGGACAAAGCCGGGGATGCTCTGGGAAGAAAGGGAACATAAAACGAACCGAGCAAAGATCTCAGCAATATCGCATACCGCTTCGAGCCTCCCAGGAGACCAAAGACTGGCTTATAACGTCTTCGGAGACAAGAAGATGCTTGCCCGGTCCTGTAATGTAAAGTGACCACGACGTCTTTCCGACCTAAGATCGAAAGGTCCATATCTAGGGAAACTTATCACAATGCAGCGCTGAAAACTTTCAGGATTTTGTTCGATCAAACCAAGCATGCCATCAATGTTTCGATATTTAAAGTTTAAAAAAAATCTAGAGCACGTCAAATGCAACTCGCCACACAAAAGCAGCATTTCCATTGTCTGTCTTACCGCGTTTGATGTAAAGAGTGCTGGTAAGATACTTTTGCAACAGGCAAGTGGGAAACCTAACATTTCAGATACATTCAAGACATTTATGTGGATGCATCGCGAATAATCGGAAGCACAACTAAAGGGGCAGGGGTGGGGTGGGGGTGGGTGGGGGGTGGGTGGGGGGGATGGGGGGGGATCCTGAGACTATCCTGATTCGGAGCCCATACACAGGCTTCTCGCATTCTGCATACAAATACAAAACAAACAAAAAAATGCTGCATTGGTACTGAACGCTCAACAGTTCTGGTTGCGCACCTGCAAATAACGCAAGTATTGGATAAAAAAGATGTGCTTTTCTCGGTGCATGCACGTAGGTCAAATGTAGGTCTTAGTATGTGTCACGCATGTCGAAGGCTGTGCTGGACTATCGGAACGTGCAGTGGTGCATGCACGCTCTGCTCTACAGAGGCGTAACACTATACATCTCAAGCTAGTACCAAGTGCGCCAAATGTATTGCGAAACGCACCAAATCTGCACGTGCTCCCAGCTGGACCTTTGTTCTTTTGTACCTGCGACACTTGAGACGATTAGCCAGCGCTCGGCTCATCACCGGTCTCACGAACCAGAACACTGCGGTTCCTCATCTCGGGCGCATTGCTCTGCAACGCAACGGGACGCGCCTCGTCTCGTCCCGGTGTGGCCGCTGCGCTCTGCCCGCCCGGCTGAAGCCCAGCTCAGGTGGCACAGCCGTAGGCTTCGTGCAGCACGTGAATTGCTACCCGTAACATCCCCCAGGGTCACAGTGAACTGACACAACGTCGACACGCAGTGCATTCCTCCCTGCAAGCGCGGAAGCATTGACCCTTCTCGGCCAGCGGCCGGCCGGGCCTATCGAGCGCTACACGCCAGCCGCCGCCGCTGTCACCATCTATCGCGGAACACTTCAACTATCTCATCTCGAGTGCGTTGACTTCTGGGAGCGCCTGAGAAATTGTTTAGCTGACATTCCTTCCGCTCGAAGAAGAGCCCAAGCACAATGTTCATTCACTTGATGCTTATTTATGTGACTTGTTTGTGCTGTCCCGTGTCGCCGTCTTGCCGCCAAAATAAGATCTGTCCAAGTGGGCTGGGGCGCTGCGGGCGGGTGGCCTGCGCTGGCCGCCGCGGCCGGTGAAGCCGTCGGTCGCTGTGGTGGCCGCGGTGTCTGGCGAGGGAGGAGGCGGTGCACGTGCGGCGCCGCACGTGTGCTCTGTGATCCCGGTGCTCTGGGGAACACCCGTGACTGACCCGTGCTGAGCGCGGCTGACGAACAGACGTTGCGAGCTCCTCGCGACCGGGGTCCGCACGGCAGCGAACCGGCCCCGCGGGCTCTGGATCGGATCTGAATCAGGTAAGGCACCTGCCAGCTATGCGCTGCTCGTTTGGGACTTCAGAATTCATCCACATGTTCTTGCCTCCTGATCTCAAGCATCCGAGGAGGGATGTGTGGGGTAGGCGTAAGTCCTAAGCAATGTATCTGCCCGGCAAAGCAAACGATATTTTATCGTATCGACCTTGTTGTGTACGTCCTCCAAATACATTTAGAATGACCGCCATCCCGTTGTCATTCCCTCAACTTATGTGCTTCAATCCAGTTTTCGTTTTTACCGTTTAAGGCCATTTGTGCTTTTGAATCGTATCTATGTAAGATCAGAACGAACCGCGAGTGTAATCGCCCGGTAGCGCGTACTTCCGTGCAGCGTCATTTACCACCGCCGTCCGGCAGCCTGTGAGGAATGCAGCCTCTCGCAGGTCCGCTATGCATTGTGACGCGTCACGTGGGTCCGCCACCGGGACATTGTGAGGCGCACGGCCGTGACATTGCTGCCGTGCCGGGGTCACAGCGCTTGACCTCTGGTATCCTGCGGCCGGTCTCGAGAGTGCCCGGTCGGCTCTCGTCCCACTGCGGCCGAACGGTGGAAGACGGGGCCGGCACGGCTCTCGTGGCAGAAGCACGCTCGTACGGCGGATCCACATTCCACAGCGGTGGACGAGTCCGGTGCCTGGCCAGTCCGGCTGGCCGGCGGCCGAGCTCGTGCTGAGGGCGTTTAGTGGTCTCGCGTGCCGTGACTCGGCCCTGGGCGACGGTGCAAGAACTGTTCGCTGCGGTCCCCACGACTGGCGTGCCCTCGGGGCATGTCGTCAGCTGACATGAGAGGGCCAATGACAGGGGCCGCCGGGGGAAGACGAACACTCCCCGTTGACACTGGAACACAATCTGATTTGCCTGCGTCGTAGCATTATTGAATAGCGCTCAGTTTTCCGAACAATGCTTGGTATCATTTGCCTACTTACGTGCTTTATTCCAGGATTTACGATCATCTCCATGCAGATAAGCAAATTCTAAACATAACGTCGATAAGCTTATGCGAGCAGTTCGTGACAACTCGCCATCATTTGGCCATCAATGTGGCCTTGTTCGCCTCTCACCCGTTTTTTAGCCGGTGCTTGTTATGCTAACGCCGCACGTCTTGCGGCCACTTTTACCGCACGGAACACATTTACCTCACTAAACTGTCGAACTCCGGCTCTGGGTATAGCATGGGTGTCATTAATGAGCCCTTGGCTGCCTGTGATCTAGAACTGGATAAACGACAGCAGCGTCGTTTTCCCGCCCTGTACGTGGTATACCACACCACATGACGTCACCCACCCCACCCCCCGCTGCCGGACACGGTCGTCATATTCTGATTCGCAGGGGTCCGGTCCGTTCGCAGCGCGTGCTTTTGATCATTCACCGCGCTCTGATTTTCCGCTCCGCTGTGCCGGTGAACCGCTCAAAGGGTGAGTTTGCAGCCATTACTCATGCCCCGTTATCGATCGGCGGGGGGTCCCTGTTTGACAGGTGCCGGGAGGAGGGGAGTTACGGGGCTTTCGGGCGGCACAGGTGTACACTGTTCACGTACACGTGCGCTACGGCTCTGCGTGACGTTCTCTGCCGTGTCCCAGTTCTGTACGGGGCGTTTGTCATAAGACATTCCGAAGATTCCCCGCGAACTGCTGAAATGGCGCCTCCTCGGCAGTCAGCACCCCGCGGCGTTTACGAGAGCGACTCTCGGCGACTGAGGCACGTTCGCTGCCGTGGTTTAACACCGTCAGCTGGAGCGATGGGCGGCGGCCAGCCGTGCCCGCCGGTGCTGACGCCTCGGCGCGGCCAGCCCCGCACGTGATCGGGGAAATCGTCCCCGACGGTCGCGTGCTGCGGCGGCGCGACGGCGGCGACGGGGACCGTCGCGAGCGTCGACCCCGCCCGAGCGTCTGCGTGCACCGGAGGCGCGGCCACCGGAGACCGGGCCTGATCGGACGGCGAGGCGTGGGGAGGGGCAAAGGTCACCGGCCGGTGCTATCGAGCACGTGACGTTGAGAGGAGGTGAGGGGGGGGGGGTGTGGCAGCGAGCCCGGGGCAGTGATGACGTGCGTGACCCGAGGAGGGCGTGATCCGGCTATCACGCGTCACGTGCGCCGCGCGGACTGGGCCGAAGCGGGCAACATAGCGATGATCCGCTACGGCTGGAGCACGTGGGCAGCTCGGTGTTGAGCCCTGCTCCCGCGGGGGACGCATCCACCACGTGTTTTCCTTCAGCTGTTGCTCACGTCGTCTCACGGTGCGCTGCTTACGCAACGCCCGGGCCGGCTCTGCAGTAGCCGTCCGTCTTCAGCCTGGACGCCGACGGGGTGAGGTAACTGCTGGCCTGACCCGGTGGCCGGCGCAGCGACCTTGCGAGAGCCTTGCCGCTGACCCGGACCTGAACGCTCCCCGAACTGTGGTGCAATGGTAGCGGCCGACTGAATGTGCTCCGACGCACGGCGCTTCTGATGTAGCTCAGGAGGCCTGAGCAGGCAGGGGCTACAAGGTTAAGGCGGCTTGCAGCGGGGTTTTCTGGGGGATACGGGAGCCTGACGGGACAGGAAAGGAGGCGCCGCGGTGGCACCAGTGGACCGGCACACCGTTAGCATATCTAACGAAAAATGCTTCTAAGGGCTTGTCAAATGTTTGCAAAGTTAGTTTAGGACAACATGGTCATGTTTGTGCACGACAGATAACCATGGCTTCTCAAATTCAAACGAGTTCAAAAGTGCAACCGTGTGTCCACGGCGCCGGATCTGCGCAACGGATCTGCTCCTCTTGGAGCCATTTTCCCCGCCCAGTTCCCTGCAGTCCGCCAAGGGCGTGATATCACTCGCAAGATTGCTGGGACCCCAACAATGTCGCTGGCGTGTGATACGCCTTGATACTATCTGATGTGGACAAAACACACGCCCAGATCAACTAGCACAAAGGCTGGTGCTTGAATACGCCCACGCCTCAACCATGCGCACTGGTATCGCCATTTCAACGCTGATTTTCATGAGACTTCCAGTCGGAGACTTAGCAGCATCTCGGCAACATCTATTTGATGATTAACCTCGCATCTTACTGTATTATGACAGAAGTTAATTGGCTCCGAACTTGTGCCAGCAGCATTCGTCCTGCCCTGTGAGGTGTGGTCAGTAGTCATCAGCGCTATCAAACGGAAGTATACCCTTTCAGCGCATCATTTCTGTGGGAGAGCTGCGTTGCGTCCAGACAGAGCTGTCCCTCGCTGTCCGCCTGTGGCGTCTCCGACATCGCCAGAAGGCGACGCGATCGTCCGCGAGAAAAACACTTGCGAGTCATCTGGTGTAACCTCGCACTCACTGTTCGCGGGCGCCATTGTTTAGCAGCCTTTTCAAAGTGGAGCAGATTTCGCCCGTGGTCCTGCTGTAACGTCTGCGATAAGATAGCCACATGCGGGTTTAATGAGCCACGGTTCCGGTGAGCAGCGAATTCAGCCGTCAAATCGATCGGAACAATCACCAGACAACAGCCAGAAGCTGCTTACCGTGCCCCGTGGAGAGTTATCGGATGGCGGCGTACGCATGAACTTCATTTAGAAGACGGCGGGAAGTACTTCCTGCGGGAGCTCGCCACGCGTGCGCTTTGTTGTGTGCTAATTTTCGCGATTGTTCCGGCCAGAATGCGGCCGACATGAGCCGTGACGTAAGTGCCTAGGTGTGCCTAGGTCATGGCTCCTAGGCGTGCTCCATGAGGCCGACCTGGCACCTGTCTCTGCCATTGGCCCCATAGACTCGGCAGGGCCCTGGATGCTGACCGCAGCTCCGTGGGGCTCCTGAGCTGTGATAAGGGCCTCTCCTCTTGGCCGCGACTCCACGGGACCAGTCCGCTGGCCCCGGCTGCTGGCCACGGCCCCTCGGCATCTGCCTGCCAGCTTGGTCTTGACCGCTGGCCCCGTGCTGCTGCCAGTCTCGTCCCCGGGCTGAACCCCGCGTTCGCAGCCGTGACTCAGGGGAGTGCGTGGCCGTTGACTCAGGCCAGCTGGCGCCGCTAATGGCTGGCGCGGCTGGCGAGACGCGGCGCGTCTTCCGGCCCCGTGTGGCGTGTCCACCTGGCGTGACCTTGGGTCACAGCCGGCGGCGTGGCGCCGCGCGAGGGGCGTGGACGCGCCCGACGCGTCCCAGCTGGTGGACCGGCCGGCTGGAGCAGAGGCCCCGCGGCTCAGTCGACCGCGGCCAGAACGCTCACGTGGCATCCCGGCTCGGGTGCCAGGCGCTGTTGATGAGCTTTAGGCCAAGAACGCTGTAGAGCCGTGGTAATCCGGGCAGAATTCAAGGTGATGGGAACTTACAGGCCTTCGGACAACTGATCATTCTCGAAAATCCTGTCGGGTGTGCCACGTATCGGTCATGATTTCATCGAAATGGTCTCCGGCCTTAATCTGGTGGACTTGGAAATGCTCGCTTAACAGGTGATTTACATACAGTTGGTTGCAAGGTTATTTAGAGGCATTCAGGTGACCTGCAAGAACTCCGGGCACTGGGCGCCAGATTTCACACAGCACCAAACCGATTCAGAAGTCATCATTAAAACATAAGAGCATCGTTCAAACAACACCAAGCCCTCTGTCCGTGGGGTCCAATATCTGAAGAATTGAAAGGCGATGCAATCTGAACAGGCAACCAAAGCTGGCACAGAGTGAGTTCGTCGCTCGCCTATCAACGGCATGCTAGATACTGTATCGTGTTGATCGCTCTGGCTGTGTTCACATTCAGCCAGGGGTTACCCGTCATATCAACATCGATGCCGGCAGCGGGAATGTCTTCCGGCCGCTTCTTCCGTCCGTCCGTCCGTCCGCTCGCCGCCCGCCCGCCGGATCCTCCCTCCCTCCCCATGCAGACTTGCCCTTCGACCGTCCTTCGTGGGGCTTCGGGCGCGCGCCACGTGCCCGGCCGTCCCGTGCCGGCAAGCTCCGAGCGATTTCGTGCAGCCGCCGGTCGCTGACTCGGCTGTCTTCCATCTCGGGTTGGAGCGAC